GGGACCGGGCGCAGCGCCGCACGCGACTCGGCTCCCGGGTAATGTTTCCGTCTGCTTCCCCAACGTTTTCCAGGAAACGCCGCTGAGGAACAGCCCCAGCCCTCCCAACAGCACCGGAGGCACGATTGACAGCGATAGCTGGGATCCCCGCTTCAATGACGTCCCCTCTTCCGTTTCCCTGCCCACCAAGAACAGAAAGAACTTCAGTCAGCTTAAGCGAGCGAAACCCTACGGTTCCCTGTTCCAGCGGGCAAAGCCCAGCAACTTCCTGCCGGAGAGAAAGCAAATTGACAAGATCAGGAAGAAGAAAAAGCTGAAGAGGAGGGAAACAGAGGTGTCAGCAGAGGAGGACTATGAGGAGAAGCTGCTGGAGCTGGAGGCAGAGGACTCTTACGTGGAGACGCCGCTGAGCCCCTCGTCTGAGGGTGACCCGCAGTCTGCAGCCGAGCACGGCTCTGTCTGGGACTCTGACACTCCTTCCAGTGTCTCCTACCCCGCCAGCACGGCCGAGCAGGCGGTGGAGATCCAGAGCGTGGGCAAGAGGACGGTCATTCGGCAGGGCAAGCAGGTGGTCTTCCGGGATGAGGACGGCACTGGGGACGACGAGGACATCATGGTGGATTCAGGTGGGTGGCCTGGCTGTCGGAAGACGTTCAGCCAGGTGGAAGCAGTGGTGCCGTTGCCGATCTCATTGGTACTTTACCTGTAGCATAATGCAGAGGTGTGCTGCCTGGGCAGAATTCAGGAGCTGCTGGATATTCAGGGGGAAGGAGGGGTTGGTTGGCTTCTTCTGCAATAAACTGAGCTGCGACTTTATAGAAGCAGCCAGTTCTTTCCTGGATTATGGCCTCTCTTGTACTGCTGAGAGTCTCCCCACGCAAGAGAGACCTGGAAAAATCAGCAAAGTGCCCATCTTTAAAACCCAGGTAGTTATTTAGCACAAAAGCAGAGCGATTTCCTGGTGTGGGTGAGAGGTGGTGGCTGCTAACACTGTTATTCGTGTTTCTCTTGCCAGATGACGACTCGTGGGACCTTGTCACCTGCTTCTGCATGAAGCCTTTTGCCGGGCGGCCAATGATCGAGTGCAACGAGTGCCACACCTGGATCCACCTCTCCTGCGCCAAAATCCGCAAGTCCAACGTCCCCGAGGTCTATATCTGCCAGAAGTGCCGGGACTCCAAGTTTGACATTCGCCGCTCGAACCGCTCCCGGATGGGCTCGCGCAGGCGCTTCCTGGACTAGGGAGGGAGGCACGAGCTGCTGCGCGGGCGGGAGCCGGGAGAGCTCCCTGAACTGCTGCTCAGGCTGAGGGGCTGCCCGGCCGGCCCCCCTGGCAGGGACAGGAATCGCCAGCCATGGGCAACTGGAGCTGGGAGAGGCTGAGGGGCCAGAACTGCTGCTGGATCCCGATCAGCTCGAGGGACAGACCGAGCTCTCTGGGATCGGGGGGTTTGTCTGGTTACAGATACGAACTGGGTGGTGTCTGGGAAATGTATAATACTTTTGCCATGTATGTTTTCTCATCCCATCAGGAAGCTGCAAACCTCTGTGCTAGATAACTCCTCCACCTCCACAGAGGGAGGAGGAGTTGGAGGGAATCTGTGTGAAGAGTCTGAAAAGTAAATGGCCACGTGTTTTAATTTTAATGTAATATTATACCTGCCCATTGTCCGTATGTATCCATCTTAGATATTCTCAGGCTCCACAGGAGCATCGGTGCACACACAGCACTGGGCCTGGGCAGAAGGGGGTTCTGTCATCCAGCCTTGTGCTGTGGAAGGGGGACTGAAGCCTGGAGAGTAGGAGAGCAGCCCTTCTGGACAGCGCTGGGGAGCAGCCACACTGGAGTTCTTCCCAGAAGGTCTCTTACCGTGATACTTCGTGACTGTTTTGCATGATTGGCTGAAATGTGTGTGTGGGGCAGTTTCCATGTGCTCTGCCTCCCGGCCCCTCCTTAAACTCCAAGGTGCTGTTTTAAGAAGATGACGACTCTCCCTTTTCTCAGTCCTGAATTCAAACATGGACTGTAAAAGGGGCCAGAGTAAACTTAGAACCTGGCAGGCCTCGTTTGGGATTTGATAATTTCCATCCGAGTACTACAGCTGAGCTGACTTTTGCTTTCACTGTTTAAGACTGGATTTGTGATTAAAAAAATGGAATCTTTAACCTATTGGTTGCTAATTACACAGATAAAAGCAAATGCAGGCCATGCAGCTAGTAAGGTGAAGTGCAATGAAGACCCATCCAATGCAGGGGTGGACAGACCACATGAGCCCTCACCAATACTGTGGTTCCTGGATGGGGTCTCAGAAGCCTGACAGGGATGAGGCCACTGAGATGGCGGCGTTGGTCCTCGATGGCCAGACAGAGCCAGCTGTTATGTGTGTCGCAAACTGGGTTGATGTTTCAAGGTATACTCTGAAGTTGTGCCTGATGAACAACGTGTGCTGCCCATGAGGGAAGGGTCAATGGCTGATGCCATGGAAGGAGCCAGACCAGCCATGCTGGCAGGAACTGCAGAGACACCTCGTTAGACCACCGCCTTATCCGAGCCCTGGCTCATCAGGAGATGCATCCTGCTGATGACCATGGGTCTTTCCTGCAGCCAGAGACAGGTACCCTCCTTCAGATGTCTGACACAGGGCTGCTTGATGTGCAATGCTCCTTCAGTCCTGCTTCTGTACAGAAGTCCCTTTACACCAGGCTGCAACAACTGACTCTAGGTTCTGAAAACCAGCTCTAGCTTCTGTAAAATCTTAAGACCATGACTGTGGTATGCTGCCTTCCAGAAGCTACATGGAACCACCAAGGAGTCTGCCAAAGACTTGCCCCTGATGGCTGCCTGACTGTTCTTTGCAGCCAGAAAAGTAACCAAAGTTCTCAAATGCTGCCATTTCACTCTGCAAACAAAGGCTTTGGAAGATCCCCGTCATGAGCTGCTCAAGGGTTGGACCTGCTCTGAAAATTGGTATCTCTGTGTTTACAGCACCTGCAACTCAACTGGACCTCTGTGGAACATGTTCCTAAAGCTTTTGCAGGATAAATGGCAAACTGCCAAGTGAACTGCCTCTTCTTCACAGAGGTTCGATACTAATTGATGTAAGTGACTCTTGTTCTGTTACCTTTTCAGATGTATCCCAATAGATGGTGTTTGACAAGTCCAGCACGTTACAGTATCAGCAGAGAGGAAAAAAAAAAAAAAAAAAAAAAGTAACATCTCCATCCTTTTAGTTCATCACTTTCAGTCATGTATAATTATAGTTTAATTCAGAACTTTATTTTTTCATTAAAACTGTTTTAATGAACCATGTTTTTTTCTTAACTGTGAAACAAGTGAACAAGGATTTTGTTTCATTCTGAACTCAGGAGTCTGCTCTTATGATTTACTGGTGTGTAGAGCAGTTGTGCCAGGTGGCAGCAAGACCTGACCCTTCAAGCACCCTTCCCTGGACAATACACCAAGTGGGGTATGGGTGGGAAGTGCTGCAAAACAACTCTTCATGTGCTGACAGGTTTTCCCACCTCTCTCTCCAGCAGCTGCTCCTTGACACCCCGTGCCTGTCCCACTTGCCCAAGGAGTGGGCACCGCAGCCTCCAACAGCCTTTGGGTTGTGCTGCATCAGCCAAGACTGGCCAGCCCAGCCAGACCCAGACCAAACCCCCCTCTGCAGGAGAGCTCCTTCCCTCCCTGTCTGACTGCAGGGTGGCACTGAAGACCCCAGACCACCACAGGGATGCTGGTGCTTTGGTGCCACCACCCTGAAGGATCTGCTGCCCATCCAGCTGCATTCAAACCTTAACACCATGGCAAACTTAAAATATGGCTTGAGTCTTTGGAAATGGCATTGGATCTTAAAAGAAGCTAAGTTCTGGTTGCTTATAGTGTCTATTTTAATTCTTTGTAATTTAGTCTTATATAGAGTGATAAACAGAAGGCCCAGAGAAGTTGTAGCTGTAAAATGGCAGTTTCTCATAGAGCAGAAATACTGAAGGTGGTGGTTTCTCAAGCGGGACTGATCTTTTACAGTCTCTTCAAAACTTTGCACTGACAGACAATATGAAGAGAGGCTGAGATGGGCTGGAGTGATGAGCAGGAGACTGACCTGTACCTGTCAAGGGCGGTGAGAGACAGGACAGGCAGCTGACTCCACCGTGTGGGGATAATTAAGCATCGCTTGACAATTACAGACACTGCAGGGAAGCAAAGATGGAGCTGAAGCTTTAACCACTGCAGAGGAGAACCTGCTGCAGCAGCCCCATGGCTGGGGAATGGCACTCACAGTACCTGGAAGGAGGGAAAAGCAAGAATCTGAATGCTTTGAGGGCTGATTGGGCAGAAAAAACAAGCTCTACACTTTTTATGATGTTTAGCCAGGGAATGGGGCAAGGCCTGTGTCAGGATTAATTGTGAGGGATTTTACTTTAACTAGAGTCACAAATTCAGATGTTCAAAGTACAAAGTTAAGGTTCATCTGTCTCTTGCACAAACTTCTTTGCAATTAGATAGGGAAGACAGCACAGAGGGGGAGGCAGGAGAACCCAGTCAGGTCTCCAACCAGAACAGAGTTGTGATTAAGAGAGTCCCTGCTTGCCTCTGGGCCCTGCTCAGGTACAGATACAGCAGCTCAGTTGCATGGGAGGAGGTTCAGATGGTTTTAGCAGCAGAAGTGAAGCCCCGAGCTCTGACTCCCACCCTGGGGCATGGCTGTCACAGATGAGAGCACACACAGGAAGACAAAGGAAGACTCTGAAAAGTAAATCCTAAACCTGTAACTCCACCTCAAGAATTTCCAGTTTAAAGGCTCTGGCTGAACAGACCCACACTAATACATTCTAGTAATTTACTAGGCCAATTAGAGACCTATGATATTTTACAGCTTGCACTCAAAGATGCTGCTGTTACAGGTTGTAACTGCTGGATATGAACAACATGCTCTGCCTCTCAGAAATGCTATTTTTCAAGTTCAGCAGTACCACGGGACACCATGAGGTACTGAACGAGTTTTTAGAATCGTGCCACTATTTCTCTACATTTTAATGTAGACAATGCACAAGAAAACACTTCTATGACAGCAGAAACTGTATCTCAGGAAGCTGTCAGAAAGGAGAATTGTTTTACTGTGCAAACGTTTTTCAGGAAAACACTCCCCAGTGTCATTGCCCTGCTAGATACAGGGTGATGCCAAGATTCTTCGTAATTAGCAGTAAATGTGTTGTCCCTATTTTTCATTTGGTTATTCAAAACTTGGTTCTCAGTTCTGGGAGCATTTAGCTACCAGTTACACGTACAAGTGATCGAAAGAGGCCAGTAAGCAGGATGTGACAGAAGGTGCAGTTAACTTTACCAAATTTGCAACCCTTGCTTTTTAGGAGTCAATTCCCAAGAGTGTCCTACAGATGCAAAGGGAAAATGAGCTACTTTTCAACTGAATATAATTTATTGCACATTATATATTTCATTTCAGACCAACAGAACTCTGGTGGTGAAATCAAAACCTGCACAGGTAACTGGTCACAACTGAAAAGTTTTGGTTTGTTTTTAGTAAGAACAGGTGAACACCCCTTAATGGTATGAATTTGTATTTTCAGAGAGGAGGCACATCTCTTTCACACTGGCTCAAGTAAGTCTGCTTTTGGAAAGCTAATTCTCAAAGACTTGAGCAAAGAGAAACACAATTGCACAGAACAAGGGGCCAGGTATATGCCAGGACATGATCTATGGCAGCAGTTGTCAAGAACAACGAAGAACTGCCAAGATAGGTATTTTCTTTCCCTCTGTCTCACATGGAAGCAATGAAAGCTGTTCTAGGAATCACCAAGAGCAGAGCTGTGACTGCGAAGCAGCCACAATAATTCCTTCTCTCTATGGAAAAGCCTCGGTGGCGCTGATGTAGGTAGCATAGCAGATACACGAGGCTGCTGTTTCCACTTGCTGTGTCACTGGAACAGGATGCCCTTTTTGCTGGTAAATCACTGGTGTGGCTCCTGGGCAAGATCAATCCAATGCATTTGTCATAACTGACGCTTTTTAGAAAGGACAGCTGAATTTTGTTTTCAGCTCTTTACCCATTTGGCATCTCTCCTCACTTTGGTCTGGTTTACTTGTATGAACTACATTCCTCTTTTTCCTAGAAATAAATTAGATGGGAAGAGATAGCTGCAGCATCAGAATCAATGAAATCACTACTGTCCTTCTCCCCTACTTGCTTTCCTCTTTTCTTGAAAACCTTGGTAGTACGTGGTTCTAGGTGGCAGAAGAATTACTAAGACTATTATACCCAGTGTCCTTGTCTGGAACAGCAGAGTCTGAAATGAGCAGCTGGAAGGGTTCATGCTGAGGAAGTCCATGTTACCAAAAAAGGCAAAGAACTTCATTTCAAACATACTTGCTCCTAACAAGTACATTTCAAATACAGATTTGAGACAGAAAACAATTTTTATCCTCTTTCCAACAAAAAGATTTACACAGAGGCCTTCCAGGAGGTGGTCAGAGAACTGCACTTCCCTTCAGGAGCAGAATGTACGTTACCTACCCCAGGAAGGATGTGGAGAAGTGGGAACCACAAGTCTTCTTCCCTGCTCAGTGCAAGAAGGTAACATGTGATTGTACAGAGGGACTGTGGCAAAGGCTGGCAAGGAAGGCCCAGCTGCAGGGCGGGTGGTGCTCAGCGCCCGCCCGCACGACCCGGCAGAAAGCATTGAGCTCAGAGTCACGTTGCTTTATTGGTTACTGAGCCACAATTCAGAGAAGTATTGCCTTGGAGCCACCCGTAGCAGCAGGTTCTCTCATTTTGTCTCCTAACACAACCGGTAGGACACCACCTGCTATATGGGTAGTACAAATAAAATTCTTGAAAACCTTGGTAGTACGTGGTTCTAGGTGGCAGAAGAATTACTAAGACTATTATACCCAGTGTCCTTGTCTGGAACAGCAGAGTCTGAAATGAGCAGCTGGAAGGGTTCATGCTGAGGAAGTCCATGTTACCAAAAAAGGCAAAGAACTTCATTTCAAACATACTTGCTCCTAACAAGTACATTTCAAATACAGATTTGAGACAGAAAACAATTTTTATCCTCTTTCCAACAAAAAGATTTACACAGAGGCCTTCCAGGAGGTGGTCAGAGAACTGCACTTCCCTTCAGGAGCAGAATGTACGTTACCTACCCCAGGAAGGATGTGGAGAAGTGGGAACCACAAGTCTTCTTCCCTGCTCAGTGCAAGAAGGTAACATGTGATTGTACAGAGGGACTGTGGCAAAGGCTGGCAAGGAAGGCCCAGCTGCAGGGCGGGTGGTGCTCAGCGCCCGCCCGCACGACCCGGCAGAAAGCACTGAGCTCAGAGTCACGTTGCTTTATTGGTTACTGAGCCACAATTCAGAGAAGTATTGCCTTGGAGCCACCCGTAGCAGCAGGTTCTCTCATTTTGTCTCCTAACACAACCGGTAGGACACCACCTGCTATATGGGTAGTACAAATAAAAATGTCTCTGTTCAGACCTGTAGTGTCCAGGGAGGTTTTGCAGTTCCTGCGGGCCCGGTACCGGCACAGCCAGGTGGGTCCCCCAGCTTAACCATCGGCGTCGATCCTGTGAGCTGTGGGTGAGAACAGCACGTGGGCACACTCCACCTGGCAGACCAGACACAGCCTTGCCTGCACTGACCAACATACTGGGACAGACAGGAGCATTTCTGGCTGCTAATTAAACACAATTCATATGCATTTCCACTGTACTCAGGGAAGCTTCCCAAGTTGGGTATGCTTCTTGAACTGGGCCAGGGAGCTGGTCTAGAGTAAACACAAGGATTGTCCTCAAAGGACAATCTAACGCTGTGAATTTCCCAGCAGGGACCCCAGCAGCTGGGGGTCCCTCTGCTTCCACCTCCATGCAGGGTCAGACGCTCCGAGTTGGCGCTGCTGAGCTCTTTCAGGGCACATTCCACAGGTGCATCACAGCCAGCCCTTCCCTAACTCCAGTCCTGAACCCCAGAATGCCAGTTCTGTGTGCTTTGCCACACAGAGCTGAAGAAACCCTTTACCAGTTCCTGAAGGAAGACGTGGGGTGGTCCTCACTACTTACATTGCTTTGGTATCCTGAGGGCCTCATTGTCAGCTGACATCACCTGGTGCAGAACTCCTCGGAACTGATAAAGCACTTTCAGACTCTTCTCCTCACCCACACAAGGGTCGTAGAAACCTGGCAGCCCAGCCTTGAACCAGGGAAGGACAGACCAAGCATCAGAGAATGAACTTGAACAGCTCTTCAACACAGCAAAAACAATTATTAGTGCCAGAACAAGGTGTCTTAAAAAAAAAAAAAAAAAAGGAGTTTTTTTGCCACTGAGATGAGATTAAAAGCTAAGGAATCACCTCCCCAGTGGCAGGTTCTAAATGCAGGAAAGAGTGAATCAAGGGGGTGGGAAGCTGCTGGTGTATAGCCCCAGAGTCTGTAACACACACTGTCCCATGCTGCAAATACAGGGACACTGCTTCTTGGCACTGGAAATGCTCAAAGAAACCAAAGTTCCTGGAGGTTCACAACACTTGGCAGTTAAATGTAAATTGATCCAGTCAGCAGCCTCGAGTGCAGGGAGAAGCCCCCTGGGAGGACAGGATATGGTTCAACTGAAACCCTGAGCCACACATTTGAACCCTTGAGTCTGGGCTTGGACACGACTGCTACATACCTTGGATGCCTCTGTGAGGATGAGTTTGGAGTCTTTCACCAAGCACTGCAGGGGCACAGTCACATCTATTACTTTCACCTTCTCATTCTTCCTGCTGTTGTCATTAACAAACTTGCCATACCAGGCGTTCACTACAATCAAACCTGCATTTCACATGAAACCACAGATGTGATGAAAGGCTTTCCACCAACAGCAAAGCAGACACTGGTGAAAAGACCATCCCAGCATTTTCTCTTGCTTCCAATGATATTTAAATTTTCCCTGCCTGGACTTGTGCTTCTCAAGACCGAGAAACATTTCTGCTCGGGTGTTTGTGAGCAATCTTCAGCACTAGGACAGAACGACACGACTTCAATGCCACATTGATGTGACAATCAGAGTGGGTGTCAGTCCACTTTGGAATGTTCTCTTGGAAATTGCTACCAAACATCAGAATTGTGATTTCCATTGTGATCCAGGAGCAAACCGTGAGAGGTAGAGACCACGGAAACCTGCACTTCAGACTGTAACTTTTGCACGTATTTATACACACACCTCTTTTTTGTGAAGAGGTCAATCCAGACTGTTGTCTTCAGCCTGCTGATCCACCTCACAGCATGTCCCAAGGTAATATTCACTGGATCCCTACTAGTCTCAGGGACCAGAAGCTGAATCACAATGCAACTTCCCCACTACATTACACTGTATCTCATTAGGGCTATAAGTGAAGAAAAGATACCTTGCCTTTCTCCCCCTCAACCACTCAGCCTTTGTATTGTTCCCTCTTCTCTCCAAATTAATGGAACAAGTAAAGGGTGGTGTAATCTTTACCCATTCTGGCTTCCTCTGCTTCAATGATCCTCCGGACAGACTCTTGCATTAACCGGACCTGTCACAACACAAGGGGCAAAGCAGAAATCAGTGTCAGACACTGTGACCCAAAGAGAAAATCCCAGAGTGCAAACAGCTCACTTTAACTTAAGGGACTAGTTACGGGAAAGACTTACTGCAGCTTCAGCCTCCTGCTTCTTCTGGAGGATGTCACTGGCTGTACTCTCCCTTTGCTTCTCCAGCTCTCTGGAATAAGAAGTCAACATCATGTCCACACAGGGGAGGGGATTCACCCACCAAGTAGACGACATCTGCTTACCCACCCCAACTACAACTGACCCACTGCCTCACACAAATGAGCTTAGTTTTAAGTTCCTTCCCCACCTTTCAAGATATTTTTGTAGGCTTTCAGGTGATGCAATGAACCACAGTGCCTCAGCTGCATAATCCAGCTTTTGCACCAGGCTCCCAGAAGCACTTCAGTGGGACTTTCCAGCTCTGAACTGAAAACCCAGTCCTGCAAGCTCACCTCTCCTTTTGTGCCCTGAGGTAGGGTTTGATGATTAGCCTGTGCATGGCAAAGTAGATAACTAAAGGTCCCACCGTGGCATAGAATACAGCACTGGGAAGCAGCTGATCCGTTAGGTGGACAGGGAAGAAGTAGGTCTGGCTAGCTCTGTTCAACCTGCAACAAAAAAGAACAGAGTGACAGGTAAGAGGAAAGGCAGTTTAATGTGTTAGGCTAAGTACCCTTAGTATTTGCTGCTGAACAACTGCTGAGCCAAAGGAGAGATAAATGATGAGCTCAAAAAGGTGAAAATCTGATAAACTGAAACAAGACAATGGTAAGACAAAGAGCTGACACCAGCACCAGCCAGACTTTGATGTAGCAGACATCTCTTGTGATCGTGCCTGGCCATTCTAAAGTCTGATTTTAATCTTAGGAGAATTTATCTGCTCTTCACCAGTGTCACCAGGGAAAGAAACCAACATCATCATCAAAAGAAAATGTTTGTAGAAAAGGTCTATGGTCACAACACCAGCACGTGCCTCCAAGGAAGGCCTACATTAATATTTTTTCTGACACAATAATATTTATTTTAGAAAACATTACTTTTCTTGGGTGGGAGCTCTGCGCCTCCTTGCAGCAGCTCAGCATCCGGGCAGGCCCTCTGCTGGCACCAACTGACAGTGCAGGGAAGCGCAAAGCCCTGGAAGGTTCTGACCCGTCTGTCAACGGCCGCTTGCCAGTAGTGTAATCACAAGTGTTAGTTAACGGTAATTGGCTAATTCCAGCATAGGCCTGTGTACAGTGTTATACAAATGGGATGAAAGTAAATCTATTTCCACTAATAACGTTTTTTGAAATCTTCCATCCACTTGCCATAATGCTTCAAACCTTACTTTAAGCTGCATTTTCAAGTATTTTGATGCACACACACACACATACACACACACACACCCCTCCTGAAAAGGGGTCTCAGGCTCAGTCACACCAGCAGAGAGGGCACAAGAGGCGTCCGAGTGGCACCACTTGTATTAGAGGGGAGGGGAGTGCAACCTTTCACAGTGATCTATCAATATACTTGTCCTGCCCTAAGATTGGGACCTTCCCACCTGAATATCTGAAATAGAATAATGCAGGTTAGGTTCAGCCTCTGCAGTCTAAAGTTGTGATCTTGAACTCACTTGATTTTCAAAGAAACTCCTTGGGGAACACCAACACTGACAGTGGCTCCTAAAATGCTGTGTCTGGAAATCTTCCTCTCTGCTCCATATTCCACTATGGTCCCGAAGAAACCCGCCCTGGAACGACAGAATCAAGACCTGGTAAGACAGGGAACAGTCTTCAATTTGTCTTTACTGAGCCCTGTAATTCCCCAACAAGTAAAGCATGGAAATACACATGTGTGCAGCAGATGTTGGACCCTAGAAGATTCACAGTTTATCTATGAGGAGAGATGAGCCTTTTCAGTTTGTGACAGACTACAGGAACTTCTGCCTTTCTTATTGATGATGATACAGAGACATCACACACCAGTATCTTAAGTTCCACTTGTCCAAAAAGGCACATAGAGCTAAGCCTTCAAGACATTCACTTTTACCAGATTTAATTAATGAAAAGCAGATTCCCAAGGACCACAGAAGCACTTGATTTGCTTGGAACCCGGAGGCCTAAATCAGGAGAGGACAGATTGTTCATTTCCTCTTGCATACTTACTTGACAGAACCTTTCACTCGTGTTTGATCCTCATCCTGGAACTTATGCTGATAACTGACCATCATGAAAGAATGGGGGATTCCCAGCTGAAACACAAGAGGCGCAAACATTAAAACAAACCCTTGGCTGTCACTGAATGTTCCCCTGATTTTCCTTTCTTACCCTTTCAATGGCACAGGAAACAGAGCAACACTCACCCTCACTCGTCACAACCTGCAGTCTCTGCAGCCTGTCGTGCATCCTGACCCTAATCTGAGCTGATCTACATTTGATTTGACAATGCTGGGTGCACAGAGCTGTGCTCTGCCACATGCAGCTGGTTCCTGACATGACATGTTTGTACCAGACAGCACCAACTGCTCCTCTATGCTCTAGTCCCAAGCCAAGACGCTGCTGGGATGGAGAAGCTGAGGTGCATCTCTCCAGGGGTGGTGGCCCCGTTCCCCACACAGAGCACCAGGGCTCTCACCTGCAGGGCCATGGTGAAGTGGCTGGTTTTGGTGTCCCGGACGATGCTGGTGTTCATGGCTGACTGGATGCCCCAGCGCCACTGCAGGTATCCCATCGTGTTCTTGTCCAGGTTGCGGGCCAGGACCGTGGTGAGCCCCGGGCGGACCCCGCGGGAGGAAAACTGCAGGGCACAGTTGGTGGTGACGAAACTAGGGGAAAGCAGGAAAGCCTCATCAGTGATAAAACACAGGCTCACAGATAGCCCCAAATCCTTTCTTCCCCAGGAGCCTTGCTGAATATGCAGAGACTGTCTTGTGAAGAGCATGATGCCTGAGAGTTCTAGGAACAACTCAAAACTAACTTAGACTGTGCTGACCACAGACAGCGCTGCCCAGAAGAGCAGAGTCATGCCCAGTTCATTGCTCTGTGCCACAACACTGCAGCCAGGAAAAGCCCTGGACTTCTGTGGGGGCAGCATACTTGGCTGCCACCTTCTAAAAGCCCTACTATGCCAAACATCTAAAGCACCATCGTAAGTCTAAAGAAATAATAACTTATTTTCTAGGATAGAAAACAAACCCAGAAATAACATGGAGGAAAATTCAAGTAATTTAGTTCCTTAGTGTGGAATATTAATCATTAGACCATTTTTCTGATATTTACCATCTTGGTGTAAGATTACGGAATATCTTCAGACCGAAGAGAGGTCCTTGCAGGTCTCCTGCTCCAAACTCCAACTGTTCAAATGCACAATGCCAAATCATCAGAAGAAAGCATCTTCTAAAGCAGTGACAAAGTACTTCACAAGTGTCATTTACGACACAGACATTTTACAGATCTAAGTAACATTTACCACCTATTTCAATGTCCTCTCTTTTCTTCTAGCTTTGAGTCCAGAATAAGAGGTGTCTCACTGAGTAGTGTCCTCATGAGTAAAACACAGCCAGCTTCATAGTGCTATAGGCTGCTTCTACTGGCACCTGCTCTGGTTGCTCCAGTGAAGGTGAAGAAAACAGCTTTATCCTATCCCCACAGTGGCAACCAGCAAGGCTTGGCTGCTGCCCTCTGGCCAAGAGTCCTTCTCAGGACAGCCCCACAGTAGCTCTACTGCTGCACCATCTCAGCATCTGCTAAATGCACCTGCTGCTTCATCCACTTGTCTAGGTGCCTTACAGGGCTGCTAATCAATGTTTATTTCATGCTGTTTAGTCTCATTAATCAAAGCAGTTTCCAGACCTGACACTTTACATGACAAAACCTGCAAAAGCAGTTCCTACTACATCTGCACTTCCCAAGTAAGTTAATTACATGGGTTTTTAAAATATGACTGACTCATGGCAATATCCACAAGCTCCTGTCACTACCAATATTGTAAAATCCTGATGCAAATGAAATGTCTCCAGTCTATGAATTCACAAATGAGCAGAAAACTCCCATTTCTCATAAACTGAGGAAACAGGTTAGCAGGAGCTAGTGTGCAAAAAGGGAAGTGCAGAAAGAAGCCACCTGGCAGCCACAGTAGCAATGCCACCAGCATCTCTGCAGTGTAGAAAATGAGAGACGGAACAGAGCTGAAGTTCCCTAAAGAAAATAAACACCAGGTAACTAATGCAAGCAGCCTGAAATAGACTGGATACAAAACTGCTGAACAGCTACCACTTACCTCTCCCCATCCCTTGGCTGATGTGACTCGTCTCAGAGCAAGGTTGATGGATCCGCCTCCGTTCCCGTTCTGGGTGGAAAGGTTCCCTGACAGTATTGCCGTGTCCGTGGCTGTCAGCGGTGCCTGAAACACCAACAGATTGTTTCCAGGTACTCTGATCCCAACTCACACATTAGTGCAGGTGCTGCAAGGACATCATCATGACTGCAGACGGTGCCTGAAACACCAACAGATTGTTTCCAGGTACTCTGATCCCAACTCACACATTAGTGCAGGTGCTGCAAGGCTGTTAGCACAGTCAGAGAGGTAACCCTCCAGTGGACTCTGTCAGCCCAGGTGTTTGAACCAGGCCTGGCCACACTTGCTGCAAATTCTGCAGTCAAAGATCAAGTATGGCAGAAAGTGGGATAATTCTTGTGGTACCAGACATTTATGAATTTATTGTACCACTGAAGTCCTGACCCCAAACTGCCAACCCTTCTTATCTTATTAGCAGACTGAACTTAATCTCTCTGGACAGAGTAGACACTCACCCTTCCCTTCCTCACCCACACCAGAACCGTGGGCCCTTTGTTTTCATTCACTAAACACTCCACGCTCAGGGAGCACATGATACCCCTGTTCAATCCAACTGAGCCTCCTCCCTGCCCACAGAAGGCAGGACCCCTGTGCCCTGCAAACATAGCCTGTACAGTCAGCACTCAGTCCTGCTGGAACTGAGCTTCCTCCTCCTCCCACCCATGCTGGTCATGGTGTCCTGCCACAAACCCAGGTGAGACCCCCTGAGCAGTGCCCCCCTACCTCAATGGACTGGGATATGTGCATTTTGTTGATCTCAATCTGGGGAAAGCTGCTCCCAGGCACATCTTCATACTCTTCATCGTAGCGATCAAAGAGGTCAGTGGCATCTATTCCAACACTAATTGTTCCCTAAGGAATGACAAGTGAAACAGATACTTAGCACTGACAAACATCCAAAAGCCAAAAGGCCAAAGCATCTTTGTCTATCAATACAGTTCTTTCGTGTTCTGTAACTACCTTTCCTCTCTAAAATTTATTTTGCACACATTCAAGACAAACAAAAATTAATTACAACAATCTTCTTAAACAGCAATATAAATTACAATAAACTGGAGCAAAGGCAGTTTTTCAGCAGAAAAAAAAAGCAGGAATTCAACTTGTAATACTAGGAGGTAATTCTTCTATTGTGGCACATTACAGAAGCAGGTAGAACACTTTACACAGCAGGTTTCTTCTTCCTCCACAACTGACTTCACTCTGTCAGTATTTTAAAGTTAAAATAATGTATTTTATAAATCGGCTGTTGTCAGTGGAACTTGGCCAGAAATCCTCTACATGCTTTCTTCTTATAAGTTATCAGAATCGACTTGGTTTGGGGCTGTGTCATTCTCTTGCAATTGACCTGACCTCATTAGTCAAAACCTTTGTTTTATTTTTCCTAGTTTGTATCTTGTAATCGGAAAAAAATGTTGACAAAGATACAGCATACTTAGCAAGTGGTAAATATTTCCTTTCTCAGGCCATCGAAAAGCTTATTCTTACAAAAAAATGCAAACTAGGCCACAGCTAAATAGTCTGGCTACCTGCTGCTGTGCTCACTCAGCCTAAGAGCAAGATGGGGTTTATTTGAAAAGGGCAAAATTAGATCCTTGTCTGGGTCATTTACCTTCAAGAGGCTTCAGAAACCTCCCCTATAGACCTATTACACAGCATTCCAGCTCATATAAAACATACCAGTTGCAATAAAACCCCTCTTTGCCCCAGCACAGAATCAACTCTGAGCAATTTGTATAAAGAAACTCAGTAGGTGGGTAGGTACAAAACCATGCAGAGTCCAAGTATGGATGGAATAAATTCTTATTTCAATCCAAGTGGGCAGTTTTCCCTGCTCACTCCACTCCAAGCAGATGTTGAACCATAAATATAGTAAGAATTGTAGAGCCTGATGGGACCCAAAACTTCTCTCTGGTTTGGCTCCCCACTATTTATTTGCTGTGGAGATTACCAACCTCTTCTATAAGTTTGGTTTTTGTCTTATTTCTTACACAGCAAAAATTGGATAAATATTTTAACACAGGAAGGTGAGATTATTTCCAGGAGAACCCTGGACCAGGGGCTGTGCCCCACCTGTTTACAGATGACTCCTGGCAGGCTGGCACATTTCAAGGCAATGATGGCCATCCGTGTTTGTGGCAGCTCCTGCCCTTTATGCAGAGGCTACTTTTTAGGAACCATCTGCAAAGTCACCTTCAGGGGATCTGCTCTCCAGACACCACAGCTTCTTCAGTTTCATCCCTCTCCTGCGTTGTGCTGCTCTTTGAAACCAGGCCAAACTAAGAGGGAAGCAAGGCCAAACTGCCAGCCACCAAGGAAGCAGAGTCCTGTGCTGCTGCTCCAGCCCTCTGGAAAGACAGAGTGGAACAGCCAAAGAGAAACAGAAAAGTGCCAACTCCACTCCATTAAATCCCAGCAAACACACTCCAGAGTGGCCAGTCAAACCTGTCTAAATACAGGTAAGCATTCATTTTAACAAGAGAGAGAACTACTTCCATTTTACCCTGGTGCTCTTCAATTCAAGGAAGTGTAAAACCCAAGATGTTTTGGAACAGAGGCAGGATGAAAAGAAATGCTTTCCACATGGAGTACCACATTCAGCACAGAGCCTTTGCCAGACTGCAACTTCGAATTCCAAGCGAAAACCATCTTACTATACCAGGTTTATTTGTACCACAATGCTTGTACCTTTTGTAGAGATGCACCAAGGTCCACACACATTCCTGAAATTCACTGCACCTTCTTTCCTTCAATTGTACTCAAATGATTATTATTTCCCTCTTCACACCTATGAATTTTAAAACAAATATCCCTCCCAGTGAAAAAAGGAAAACACCTGAACCTATCTGTGAAACTCCACAAGACCCACTGAGGGGACAGGAGTGTCCCCGTTTCCTTCCTGGCTCCTCAGAACTTTGAGCCAGCTGCCTCCTGCTGAGGTGGGCAGTGGGCTCCATGCAGACAAACAGGTGAAGTCACCCCCAGAGGTCCACAGATCCTGGCATGGAAACTGGCTCAGGTGGAAGCACAGGAAAAGCAGCAGATGGCACAGTTAAAAATATTCCCAGAGAACAACAGTACCCCCTCTGCTACCGGATAATGGAGAGGGGATGGCTGCTGCTCCCAGCTCCCCATCAGCCACCTGCTCAGGCCATTGGAGATGAGAAGCCCTCCCTAAGGAAGAGCAGCAGGGAAGGAGCTGCACAGCTCTGCTCAGGAGCTGGCGGGGCAGGTGGGCAGCAGGAAGCACTGTGTCCCAGCTCAGCAGGGCAGGAAGCTGGGAGCAGCACTACAGAACCACCACGGTTGTTACCTGGCTTCATCTTTTCAAATCACCTTGATTTGCCATCCTGCAAACACAAGACAAACTCTACTGATGGGATTCAGGGTGTGCCAGAGAAGAACGTGCTCCGTCCTTGCCTTTCTTCAGAGATTTACCTTCTGGAAGGTGACATATGGAAGCTGTGCCAGACTAAGCCTTGAGGGACCTGCATTTCTTAGATGTTTACCTTCCACAGCAGGAAAATAATGGGATTTAATGTCTCCTAACAGGAAGTAGTTCTTCTCAAGTCAAGTAATGAACTTTTCAACCCTTCTGCACATCTTTGAAAGCAAAAACAAAGCTTTAAAAGCAAATAATAGACTCAATTTGAAACCTGCCAAATTGCCTACATCTGGTTATTGCTCAACATTTCTGGTTAAAATGCTTTATTTTGCTGGAATCATTTTATAGAACTGACAAAATGTTGGAAATTTTAAAATAACTTGTGTTTCTGTATGAGATGATCACAGCTGCACTACCTAATTCCACAGAAACACTGCCTAGAGAGACGTTCCTATAGGCTGCCAATCAGCAATTGCTGTAAACACCCAGATGGCTAATTTTATCACAGGACACAAGGGCTGAGGCTCATGCTGCAGCTCTGCACTTTACTGCTCATAGCCATGGCGAGGCTCTCAGATAAAATGTCAAATTCCTGAAGTCTCAGAGAGGCAGGAGGTGCAGAGAACCATGCCCATCTCCGAGAATACCCTTCTGAAACCCAGTCACCCTCATCTCCAGCAGAGACAGTTCAACTTGTTCCTTTTGTGCTATCCAAAAATTCCTTCCTGACTAAAATAATGTTGGCAGCAGACACTCATATAACACCTTATGCTTATGTACCTTTCAGTACAAACAGGTTCCCAGTCTCTGTGCACTGCCCCAACAGCCTGGTGAGCTGTATTAGTTGATTTGCTTTGCTAAGACCAGGACAAATCCACAGTCTGTGCCAAGGTGGGTCTCTCAAAACTTTACATGCCTTCTCAGATGGGCATTTTTCTGAAACAGTTCTAAACATTACTCACAGTCCTGTCCACTCAGATTTTAAACTTTTAGCCATTAAAGCACCAGCAACCTTCAAAACCAACAGTAACAGTAGTTAATCAACTGGTATTTTGATCCTCAAGTTGTCAGTTACACTACGAGACTTTGGAGTCCACACCTGAAGACAACACAGGAGACCTCCTCTTCCAAAGCCACGAGAGCAGCCTGGCCACCTGTCCTTCAGGACACAGAAGCTGTGCTGCCTGCAAGCCTCCAGTGAGAGCTCTGGGCATACCGTTACAGTTCATTTTTTCAAGATGGAGAAAGTTTGTCACAAAAATATCTGCACAGTTACCTTGGGGTAGAGAGAGGAAAATTAAAACTCCCCACCATGGACCATTTCTAGTCTATTTCTATGCACAGAAGAAACAGATTTCCAACACCAGGTAACTGCAAGGAGTTCCACTGTACTTTGAACACTTGGAAAGAAATCTAACATTTTGGTCTTAAGTCTGTTATACTGAAATTGCTGAAAAAGATATTTTACTTATGTGTTTCAACAAAAAAAAACCAACAAAAAAAAACATCCTACGGAGGATTACTGTTCAAAGAATTAGCTGTTTTCCCTACGTTCTCCAGAGAAGCTGGAACAGTAACTCAGTAAGCGCAGATACTGAAGGGATAGCCCCTCATGGAGGCTCATCACACTTTGCATACTTATAGTAATTTGTGGATTCCCTCTTGAAGCTTGGAGGAAGTCTTTCCCTCCCTTTGGATTAGTGCGCTGCTGCAGTCCCAGTGAGAGCTCTGGGCATACCGTTACAGTTCATTTTTTCAAGATGGAGAAAGTTTGTCACAAAAATATCTGCACAGTTACCTTGGGGTAGAGAGAGGAAAATTAAAACTCCCCACCATGGACCATTTCTAGTCTATTTCTATGCACAGAAGAAACAGATTTCCAACACCAGGTAACTGCAAGGAGTTCCACTGTACTTTGAACACTTGGAAAGAAATCTAACATTTTGGTCTTAAGTCTGTTATACTGAAATTGCTGAAAAAGATATTTTACTTATGTGTTTCAACAAAAAAAAACCAACAAAAAAAAACATCCTACGGAGGATTACTGTTCAAAGAATTAGCTGTTTTCCCTACGTTCTCCAGAGAAGCTGGAACAGTAACTCAGTAAGCGCAGATACTGAAGGGATAGCCCCTCATGGAGGCTCATCACACTTTGCATACTTATAGTAATTTGTGGATTCCCTCTTGAAGCTTGGAGGAAGTCTTTCCCTACCTTTGGATTAGTGCGCTGCTGCAGTCTCCTCTCTTCCCTCTCCCTCTGCAAACGCTCAAATTCTTCCCTGATTTCAGCTGGAGTTCTCTTCCTTTCCACAACCTGCTCAAAAAGAAATAAAACCCAGGAGATTACCAAGAAGAAGATGTTGAGGGCATTGCACTGCTGATGGGACTGAGGCTCCCTGGCCCAGGGTGCTCTAACACATGGGCCCTGCTGCTGCTGCTGTAAGCCGCTCTGCACAGATTCCCAAACTCAGACTTTGGAGCAAACAGGCCAGATCGAATGGCAGAGAAATTCCCATGCTTTGAGAGAAGGGAAAATGGTCTTGTTATTTCTACTCCCTTGTCAAAACCAGGTTAAGTGGCATTCAAGCCACCAGTACAAGGTACTGCAGTGTAGCTGTCATTAACAGCTATCTATTAACCTCTCTACTAGGAGTAAACAAAATGAAAACAACTGAAAGTCTCTGCTCCGAGGTAAACTGGTTAAGTGAGAGTTTTGTGATTTTAGGCTACAGTGATTCACATCTGTTTAACTTACTTGGCTCAGGGAATGAGAGTTTTAAACAGGCATGGATAGAAAGAGTACTGGATTTGGATTTTCAAAATAAGTCTGCCCCGAGCAGCTCAAAACTGTCTGTCACACTTCTTGCTAACTCCAAACTCGACCTTGGTGCTGACCTGACCCAATACAAGATGATTCTGCAGCAAGCAGCACAGCACAATCAGCTCAGGCTGCCAGAGGCCAGCACAGGCACTTAATGACAGGAAAGCCAGGAAGGGACAAGTTCTCTTTCAAAGACCATAAAAACCAAACCAACAAAAAATCCCACCCCCAAAAAGTAGAGAAAGAAAATGTAATTTCAAACTCAGAGGCTAGCTGATGCTGAAAAAAGGTTCCAGATGAAAAAGATGAGACTCAATGGACAATAACGACGCATTTGTCTCAGACAAAGATGTTTCCTGTCACAGTAATATCCTATTAGGGAATGCTGAGTGTCAGGTTTATTGTTCTCTTGTCAAGTGAAAAAATGAAGTATTCTTTGAAAATCCATCATGGTGTTTCAGCAGAGAGATAGACAGAAATAACTAAACAAGGATGCCATCAAACAAACAGGCATTTATTACCATCAAGGTGTCAGTGCAGCTCGATAAAACAAGGACGCCAGATAAAGGTGGGATTAGCCAATTCCACTGGCCATAAGGTGCTAAATTTCTCTCACCTCCCATCCTTCCATTTCCAGTCCTCTCCTCCCATATATGTCATAGATGGCTCTGGTCTGTGGATCACTAAGCACTGCAAGTTAAAATCAAAAGAGAGGAGAGAACTCAGTTGTTGGTCTTCTCCTCAGATTTCAGCCCAACACACTAGTGTTATGTGGAATTCAAGCACAGATCCTGGAAAGACATTGTCCTACAGTTGCACCTCATTTGTTGATTTACTCCCTCTCACCTGCAATGTCAACAGGACACTCCGACTTCTCCCCCCAATTCGTTCCTTGTTCTTTTTTCTTACTTCTAATATCAACAAGTGAAAAGAACAAGAGAGACACATGCAGACTAACTGAATATGCAGCAGGGTTTTAATACTGTGTTTTCTGCCTGAAGAGTGACACAAGCTCTCTAACAACCAACAGGATTGTCAGCAATTCCACAACAGTCCCTAGAAAGGTTCTGAGGAGGAAGGACATCTACCTCTGTCAAGCTTCCAACACTCTTCAGTGCTTCTCTCCCTGTCTTTGACCTTCCTTACTATCCTTGTCCACTGACCCTTTCCCACCCAATTCAAAACATGTAGGGCAAGCCAACACCAACAAAGCAGTTTCCATGAGGCAGTTCATGCCTTGCAAACCTCAGTTGCCAAAACACGAATGTGGATCTCCCAAAAATCACCCAAGGCAATGCAGAAAATAACCTACACCAGGAGACTGCAGAACAGTAACTTTGGGAAAGAACTGCAGACAGAACTGAGAAAAACCCCTAAGTGTAAAGTGTATTTAAATGCAGAATCTCACATATCATACTCTTCCTTAAAGAAAATAATATAATAAAATCCTTAGTACTTTTCCCACAGGGTTCCAAGACCAGCTTTATCATTATCATCTGTTTCTTCTGACTGTGGAGGAACTGATCAGTCTGCAGGGAGCTGAGTGTGTGTATATTAAGGCAAAAAGAGGCTTATATTAGTAATTGAGCTTTGATCTGAACTGCTCCAAGATTATTGAACCTGCTAAATGTCACAGGCGGATACTATCTTCTATAAATTCTGATAAATCTTTCGTTGTATGATATTAAGAGACAGAAGAGGAGGGGGAGAAAATAGGCAGGAGGTGGGGTGGCTTATTTTTAAGATGTGAACATTTTTGCTTGTAAAATATTACTCACATTTGGCACTAAACGACCAACGATTTTCATACATGTTGCAACACAGAGTCAAGCAGAGCCAGGGAATTCAGAGGGAAGGTGGCTCTGATACCAGACCTGCTCACCAGGTTAAAATGAAAATATTGAAGCATCCTGAGCTTTTATTCCCCATGTCATCAATGTAAGACCTTCACTGCTCTCCCCAGCAAAAGCTTCCATATGTCCTAATGCCCAGTGAAGGACAATGAAAAAGACTCCACCCTCATTCAAGTCCAGCTGAAAGAAACCAACACTTATCCTTCAGAAAATAGGAATTAAAAAAAATAATTAGCTCATCTTTGAGGTTTAATAGAGGAATATTTATTGACCATTTTGCTTTAGTTTCTCTACAAGCTACAGGCCCAGGTACCTACTTTGCTGCACCAGTTTTTTAATGCAGAAGAGTCCTACCAGGTTCTGATCCATTTGCATTCCAGGTGCCTCCTCTCACACTTCCAAAATGCTGCAAGCCAATTCTAATGAGTCACTTCCTTGTGCCTCAGTTACACTATGTGTTTATTACCTGTGGTGACACCAGAGTTTAAGTAAATGTCAGCTTAACTCAGGATATTTTTAAAGAGCTCTGGCATACTTCATGAGAAAAACCTGACTGCTATGAATCCCTAGTCCTTAGGATAGGGAAGAACTTGATGAAAAGCAATGGAGTCCACAACCAAGTGACAGATAACAGAAATTCAGGGTGCACCAGTTCAAAAGTAAAACATGAAATGGTCTTTCTGTTCTGAGATTTTCAGTCTCCTATGAGAGAGCCTTTTCAGAAGTAAGGGAAGTGGTGACAGGATTATTCACATGCAAGAAATAAGGCAGAGACTCCACATCTTGTGGCTGCAGAATTTACACTGCAAGGCTGCTCTGATTTACCAGGCAGAAGCAGGAAACAAAGCACCACTAATTACCAGCACATTTAATGATTACTTTGTAATAATATCCATCTTTTTCAAAAAAGCCAGAAGACACGGCCCTCCTAGGAAACCCCTGAACACAGTTTCTGCTAACTCCAGCCTTGCACTGACCTTCGTAAGCCTGGTGAACCAGGTTGAACAGCCGCTCAGCTTGTATTTTGAGCTCGGGGTCTCTGTGCTTGTCCGGGTGGTAGAGCATGCAGAGCCGGCGGTAGGCAGCCTTCAGCTCCTCCTGAGAGGCCTGTGCAAGCAGTGAACAGCGGTTAGAGTAGAACAGGCCTACTCAGAAAAGACCACTCTCCAGAGCAGCCCATCAGCTGTCACACCGTGCTGCTCTTGCTCACAGACACAAAAAAATCCAGCTCTTCACTCAGCCCCCTGGGACTGCAGAGGCACCGGCCGCAGGACACAGACACGGGTGGACACACACTTTGCCTGGCTCCTCCCTGATCATTCCACTGCCATCTCAGGAGACAATGAGCAATATTTTATTTTGAGTCTAGACAGCCCTGAAAACAGCCCCTTTCCCATTCCTGCAGCAGTCCCTACACAGCAGCAGCTCTCTGTTCCCTGGACAGTCAGCACCTATCTCAGGTGCAGGTGCAAAAACCAGCCGGAACTTCCCCAAAAGGCACAGGCAGAACGTGCAGAGCTGCCAACTGGCCAGCCACAAACTCAGTCTGGGTTTTCATCACAGAAATGTGCTCAGCTGCACACCAAAGCTGGGGATCTGCTCAGTTCTGAGTACAGCTTAGAATAAACGTTTTACCTGCTCATTCTCAGTACTTCACATTAATGTTTCTAAATGATACAGCAAAGGGGGACCTGCCAAATTTACTGGCCCAGGACACTACAGGTAGCTACAGATGAGGTCTTTTCACTACCTTGTGCTTTCTCAGACATCAGATTTAAATTCAATTGAGGAGGCAGGGGAACACAGTTCTAAAATGGCATTCTTTAATCGAATTAATGATAAATGGCTTAATGTGCTATTGATTATATAATAGGAACGAGCAGTTTCATTTGTCATAAATGCCAGGTTCAATAAAATGTTAGATTGGGCCTTCCATTATCACTGAATAGCTGGGGTCACTGGTTCAATACTTGATAAGCAAAAGCCTCTTAGAAACCACTAAAGAAACATTGACATAATGTCAAACTGCAGGGAAACATCAGTCAGTAATAATCAAATCTAAGTTACATTTTTGTTACCAGAATTCCAGGCAAAACTAAAAGGTGCCCTGTCTCCCTGTCTGGGGTGTAAACAGCTTCATTTCATATCTCAAACAAGCCACCATGCTTCCAGAGGGCTGGGATCTACAAAGGCTCAGGGTCTCTCTGCACAGGCAGCTGGGAAAGGTGCTGCTGGACACGCAGGCTCCCCCCGCAGGGCTGTGAAGCTCCCGGGTTACCTGTGGTTTTAGGCTCAGCTGCACCACACGAGGGTGGCTCAGCTCACAGAAATGCAAGGACACTGCATTCCACTGCTGCACAGGGCACTGCGACTGAATTAAATTACCAAGAGGCAATTAACAAAGCAACTCTGGCTCTCAGTGGGAACTAATCCCTCAAAGACCATTTTAACTTGGTTTCCAGCTCCCTGCTGTACAAACCTGAATTTCCTGGTCTCTAGCAAAGAGCTGAAGGCCCAGCTAAGTTAACAATTAAGCCTTTGCTGTTAAACCTGCCAAGCAGTTGCAATTCTGCCTCATTCTTTTAACCTCTACACCCTCATTTTGCTGACATTTGGGAGCAGAGCTGCAACACTGGTGTAAAAGCAAAGCCCCTCTGGCTGCTAATGAGCCCCGGGCTTGAGTTACACAGACATTTTTCAAAAAAGAGCACACTTGACTGGCTGGCACAAGACAGTGCTACAGAAAGTTACTGTCACACAGAATCACAGAATCTTAGGGGTCGGAAGGGACCTCGAAAGATCATCTAGTCCAACCCCCCTGCCAGGCAGGGTCACCTAGAGCACATCACACATGCCTTTCCTTCAGAAAGACAGAGGATTTCCACAGATGAGATGCAGAATTCTGCCACAATTACTGACATTAACTGCAAACGCAATTTTTTCAAAGCTCAGACTGAATTGCTTCTAAGTCTTAAACTCCCATTACAGGCAGTAGCAGTAGTTTGGTAAAAGCTTTCGGCTCAAACTGGTAACATCTAGACTGTTCCTAAATACATATATATATATTGAAGAAAAATATATGGTGTATATATATATACTACTTCAGCATTTGAGGACCCAAACCACAGCACGGCCTACATTCGAACTTTGGTGATTTAACCAATTATAACTATTAAGAAAAAGTTACATCTCAGTGAGTTCCAAACTGTCCCGGTGTAACGAAGTTGCATCACTTAACCCACTGCCCATGCTCATCCTGACGAGAGGCGTCTTCCTATTCAGAAACGCTGGGAAAGCCCCCACAGCGCTGACCGAGCGCAGAACAGCCCACAACAAAAGAGATAAGCGCATTACACACACAGACGGGAGCAGTTCTCAGCCCGAGCCGCCATGTGCCCTGAGAAAAGCCGCCCACGAGCAGCCCTGCGGCCCGCGGCCCCGCCCCCG